GATGTCAAGAGTTCGAGACCAAGCTGGCCAACATGGTGAAACCCCATCTTTACTAAAAATAGAAAAAATTAGCCAGGTGTGGTGGCGGGTGCCTGTAATTCCAGCTACTTGGGAGGCTGAGGGATGAGAATCACTTGAACCCAAGAGTCAGGGGTTGCAGTGAGTCGAGATCACACCACTGCACTCCAGCCTAGGCAACAGAGCAAGACACTGTCTCAAAAAAAAAAAAGAATCAAACAGAAATACTAGAGTTGAAAAATGCAACTGACATGCTGAAGAATATATCAGAGTCTTTTAATAGCAGAATTGATCAAACAGAAAAAAGTATTAGTGAGGTTGAAAACAGGCTATTTGAAAATAGACACTCAGAGGAGACAAAAGAAAAAAGAATAAAAAACAATGAAACACATCTAGAAGACCAGAAAATAGTCTCAAAAGTACAAATCTAAGAGTTATTGGCCTTACAGAGGAGATGGAGATAGAAGTAGACAGTTTATTCAAAGAGATAATAACAGAGAACTTCCCAACCCTAGAGAAAGATATCTATATTCCAGTAGAAGAAAGTTACAGAACATCAAGCAGATTTAACCCAAAGAAGACTACCTCTAGGCATTTAATAATCAAACTCCTAAAGATCAAGAATAAAGAAAGGATCCTAAAAGCAGCAAGAGGAAGAAACAAATAAACATACAATGGAGTTCCAATATGTCTTGTGGCAGACTTTTCAGCGAAAATCTTGCAGGCCAGGAGAGAGTGACATGACATATTTAAAGTGCTGACATGGCCAGATACGGTGGCTAATCCCTGTAATCCCAGCATTTTGGGATGTTGAAGCAGGTGGATCACTTGAGGTCAGGGGATCAAGACCAGCCTGGCCAACATGAAGAAACCCCATCTCTATTAAAAATACAAAAATTAGCTGGGTATAGTGGTGCAAAGCTATAATCCCAGCATTTTGGGAGGCTGAAGCAGGTGGATCACTTGAGGTCAGGGGATCAAGACCAGCCTGGCCAACATGAAGAAACCCCATCTCTATTAAAAATACAAAAATTAGCTGGGTATTGTGGTGCACAGCTATAATCCCAGCAACTGAGGAGGCTGACGCACAAGAATCACTGGGACCTGGGAGGCAGATCTTGCAGTGAGTTGAGATTATGCCACTGCACTCCAGCCTGGGTGACAGAGTGAGACTCTGTCTCAAAAAAAATTTATAAAATAAAGAAATAGAGTGCTGACAGAAAAAAACTTTTACCCTCGAATAGTGTTATCCAGAAAAAATATCCTTCAAGCACAAAGGAGAAATAAAGACCTTCCCAGACAAACAAAAGCTAAGGGATTTCATCAACACCAAACTTGTCCTATATGAAATGCTAAAGGGAGTTCTTTAATCTGAAAGAAAGGGATGTTAATAAGCAAGAAGAAATCATCTCTAGATACAAAACTGACTGGTAATAGTAAGCACACAGAAAAGTACAGAATAATATAACACTGCAAAGGTGGTGTGTAAACTACTCTTAAATAGAAAGACTAAATGATGAACCAATCAAAAATAGTTACAATAACTTTTGAAGAAATAGTACAATAAGACACAAAGGGAAACAAGTTAAAAAGTAGGGGGACAAAGTTAAAGTATAGTGTTTTCACCAGTTTTCTTTTTGCGTGTTTGTATATGCAGTCAGTTTTAAGTTGCCGTCAGTTAAAAATAATGGGTTATGGCCCGGCGTGGTGGATCACGCCTGTAATCACAGTACTTTGGGAGGCCGAGACAGGTGAATCACCTAAGGTCAGGAGTTCAAGACTAGCCTGGCCAACATGGCGAAACCCTGTCTTTTAAAAAAAAATAAATAAATAAAAATAATGGGTTATAAGATAGCATTTGCAAGCCTCATGATAACCACAAATCAAAAAACCAACAACGGATTTACAAAAAATAAAAAGAAAGAAAGTAGGCTGGGTGTGGTGGCTCATGCTGGCTGATACACACAGAAGCCAATACTATGGCATCAAATTTTTGAGAGAAGGAAAGCCTTATTACAGATTAACCACAAGCCAGGCATGGTGGCTCACATCTGCACTTTGAGAGGCCAAGGCAGGTGGATCACCTGAGGTTAGGAGTTCGAGACCAGCCTGACCAATATAGTGAAAACCCATCTCTACTAAAAATACAAAAATTAGCTGGGCATGGTGGTGTGCACCTCTAGTCCCAGCTACTTGGGAGACTGAGAAAGGAGAATTGCTTGAACCCAGGAGGCAGAGGCCACTGCACTACAGCTTGGGTGACAGAGTGAGACTCCATCTCAAAAAAAAAAAAAAAGAAAAAACTTCAATGAGATATCATCTCACTCCAGTTAAAATGGCTTATATCTAAAGGTCAGGTAAGAACAAATGCTGGCAAGGATGTAGAGAAAAGAGAAATCTTGTACACTGTTGGTGTGAATGTAAATGAGTACAACTACTACAGAGAACAGTTTGGAGGAGCCTCGAAAAACTACAGATAGACCTATCACATGATCCAGCAATCCCACTGTTGTGTACATACTCAAAAGAAAGAAAATTAGTATGTTGAAGAAAAACCTGCACTCCCATGTTTGCTGCAGCACTGTTCACATTAGCCAAGATCTGGAAGGAAACTAAGTGTCCATCAACAGAAAAATGGATTAAAAACTGTAGTTACACACAATGGAGTAATATTCAGCCATAAAAAAGAATGCGATTCTGTTATTAGCAACAATATGGATGGAACTGGAGGTTATTGTGCTCAGTGAAATAAACCATGCACAGAAAGACAAATATCACATTATCACTTATTTGTAGGATCTAAAAATCAAAACAATTGAACTCATGGAGATAGAGAGCAGAAGGATGGTTACCAGAGGCTGGGAAGTGTATTGAGAGGGTGAAGGGTGAGTAGGGATGGGGTTAATGGGGACAAAAAAATAGAAAGAACGAATAAGATCTAGCATATCATAGCACAACAAAGGGACTACAGTCAATAACACTTTAAATGCACATTTTAAAATAATGGAAAGGGCGTAATTGGATTCTTTGTAACACAAAGAATAAATCATTGAGGGGATAGATACGTCATTTTACTTACATGATTATTATCAATTGCATGCCTGTATCAAAACATTTCATGTACCTCATAAATATATACAACCACTACGTATCCACAAAACTTAAAATTAAAAATTAAAAAAAAAAGATATCAAGACTATTCCTACACTAAATAGAAATCTGCTGTCATTGGAAGACAGACTGGAAACTGCCATCCAAGAACAAGCATAGATACAAGGTCAAGTCTGGCTGCCACGAGGCTAAGAAGAAGGAACCTCAGGAAAGCCCTGCTCTTGAGGCTTTAGCACATAGGGCTTGCCTAAGACTGAAGCCCAATGAGAAAAACATAAGATATTTCTCTGCTTCCACTAGGAGCCTTGCAATAAGCAACATGCAACAGCGGTATACTCCAATGGGATAGGCAAGAGCATGGAGAGAACACCCTTCCACTTCTATGATGCCAGCCTGCATGGATAGCTGAAAACTGAGGTAGGAGCAGAAACACTTGAGAAAATCCTTCTGGTACCCCACCTCCACCCTAAGCACAAGACAAAGCAGCCAAACCACTAGAGGTATTTGAAGCCTGTGGTGCACTAAAGGTAACAATAGCAATAACAATACCCAAAGCCAATTCAACTCCAACTAGATAAGCCTAACACAACTGCTTGACAGAAGAAAAGGCAAGTCCATTTCTACACATAAATACTCTGTGTACACTGTTCTTCTACAACAAATATCTGGCACTCAATAAAAAATTACAAGACATGCAAAAAAAAAAAAAAAAAAAAAAAAAAAAAAAAAGCAAGGCAAAACAAGCCATTATCAAGAGACAAAGCAACCAAGAGAACCAGATTTATAAATGACCCTAATATTGGAAATTCCAGATAGGGAATTTTAAATAATTAATATGGTAAAGAATCTAGTGGAAAGGTGGACAACATGCATGAGCAGATGAAGAATTTCAGAATAAATTAAAAACTATATAAAAGAATCAAGTGGTAATGTTAGAAATTTAAAACTCATATCAAAGATGAAGAATTCCTTTGATGGGGTCTTCAGTAGACGGCACACAGCTAAGGAAGGACAGTGAACTTAAAAACAAGTCAGAAGTCATCCAACTGAAATACAAATAAGGAAAAAAAGAGTGGAAAAACAGAACAGACTAAGAGCTATGGCACTGTGGGACATGATCAAGTGGTCTAATATACATATAATTGGAGTCTTAGAAGGAAGATAAAAAGCAGAGAGAATAGGGAATAAGAAGTATTTGAAGTGGTAATAATGGTCTAGAATTTCCCCAAAATAATAAAAGACATAAAACCACACATGCAAGAACTTCAGAGAACATTCAGATAGGAAGAAAAAAAACAAATACAGACAGATCAGAGTCTAGCTAATGAAAACCAAAGAGAGCGCCGGGCGCGGTGGCTCAAGCCTGTAATCCCAGCACTTTGGGAGGCCGAGGCGGGTGGATCACGAGGTCGAGAGATCGAGACCATCCTGGTCAACATGGTGAAACCCCATCTCTACTAAAAGTGCAAAAAATTAGCTGGGCATGGTGGCACGTGCCTGTAATCCCAGCTACTCAGGAGGCTGAGGCAGGAGAATTGCCTGACCCCAGGAGGCGGAGGTTGTGGTGAGCCGAGATCGCACCATTGCACTCCAGCCTGGGTAACAAGAGCGAAACTCCATCTCAAAAAAAAAAAAAAGAAAACCAAAGAGAAAGAGAAAATCCCAAAAGTATCCAAGAAAAAAGAAACATCACATACAGAGAAACAAAGATAAGAATTACAGATTTTTCACTGAAAAATGAAATTTTCAGAATGAGACCATCTCAAAAAGAAAAATGAAAATTAAAAAAAAAACTATGAAAAATTTTATATCAGTCTCAAGAATTTTCAAAGTCCAAAAGATTCTATAATTTCTAGTATATTAACCATTACCTTCTCCTTTTACAAAATTCACTTTCTATGTATCCTGTAGGCAGTTTTAACCACTCATTTGGAGTCATAAAGTTCCTTGAATTAGAAATTTGTGGGAATCTGGAATGCAGCTGAGCCTTCTCAACTTCTTTGAATTCTTTTATTGTATACATTTTGCCTGCAGGAGGAATAAAAATTTAAATTAACATTCTTAGAGGCAACTGCCATTGCTCTTGGGCTATGAAATCACAAAACAATTAGGAACTAAGTACCAGTCTCACACTGAAGAAGAGTTCTTTTTTCATTATCCTTGTCATATTGTGCTTTTTTCAAAGGGTCACGAAATGGTGGGATGGTAACCTACAAGAGAGGCACTTGTTTGAGGACTGAGTCACAGATCTGAGTAGTAAACATTTTCAGTTTATTCTAAGCATCCAAATATGGATGGCTCTTATGCCAGAGAGTAAAGTAAATAATATAGTATTTACAAAAAGGCTTACCATCATGTATATTTAATAATTTACAAAGAGATGGGGGCATATCAATACCTCTCTTAACAAGGCCCTCCAGTCAAAGAGACAAGGTTAGCTCTTGTTTCAAAGTGTGGGTTCATTCTTCAAAAATTATTATTTTTGTTATCATATGTTCCCAAATTTTAAAAAATTGCTTTCCCATGCACAAAAGAAAAAATATATCCATATATCCATCTTAATGCCTAACATTGATAATCAACAACATAACTAACATTACTTAAAACTTAACCAAGTTATTCAAAATATAGATCATTTGTGAGCCAAGGTATGGAAGCACTAAATCTATGTTAAAGGCCAATATTATCAGTACCAAAATAACAGTCTACATAAGAAAAAACAGGATTCACGAATAGCCATTCACCACGTAGGCCTAGTCAATGAAATTCTACCACAGTCTTAAAAGGTCACTTATTTATCTTTCTAATCCTCATCAGGCTAGTTTTTCAGGGGTAATTATAATACACATCACTACTGTAAGGTCTTTTAGGTTGACTGACGGTGCCATGGACACCATGTCAACCTCTGTGACCTTCATGGACACTCCAGATGAGTTCCTGGAAGACCGAGAAATGATCAACCCCTGCTGCACCTACTTAACTTTGAGATAATCTCTATTGTTCCTTATTCCCCCTCTAATTGATAAGGTCATTGGACTTCGTAACCGACCGTGGTCAACCTTGTGACTCCACACCCTACAACCCCCTCCCAGCTCGCAAAAAACTGCCCTAAATTATAACTTTCCACTACCCACCCCAAATCTGTAAAACCAACTCTATCCCGCTGCTCTTGGCTGACGCCCTTTTTGGCCTCAGCCCGTCTGCACCCAGGTGAATAAACAGCCATGTTGCTCACACAAAGCCTGTTTGTGGGGGGGGCGGTCTGTTAATTCAGTGCGTGCGTTTTACAATGACTATTAGAGTTGAAATAAACAGTGATCAGACTGCCCAGTATAATTTTGCTTTTACAGAAGTTATGAAGAGTGCTACTTACAAAATATTAAGAAAATATTAATTCACTATAAAAAGGAACAAAGAAAAGTACTATCATTTTCAGGTATTTATATGTGACCTATTCATATATGAATAGCAGATCAAATTTTCAATGGCACTGGACTCTGCTGCTGGAGAGCTGTACTCCTTGGAGATGTCAGAGCCTTGCTTTTTCATGTTTCTTGTATTCTTACATGACATCTGTGCATCCAGGGTAATGGATGCTTTTTTCCTGTTTTTTGATTTGCTTTCTATGGTGTTGGATGGGTAAGATACTTTGGCTTTGATCCTGATGTGTGCAGCAGTGTAGTCTCCATATGATTTCTCTGGCTGCAAACAGTGTCAGTGATGTCTGTGTTTTCCTCGGTGGCTTAGGGTACAGTTGTTGAAGGCTGTGGTGAGGTTTTGCTGGGAATGGGGACACTGCGCGGGCCAGTCCTCAGCCTCAGTGGAAGCAGTGACAGGCTAAGTATACCTGGCCTTGGTCCTCAGAGCAGCATACACTGGAACTGGTGCTGCAGGTTCAGGTGGGCCAGTTCTTGGGTCTCCAGGTAGCTTGCTAGGGTGCAGGCAGTGGCCATAGTGGGTTAGATGGATGGGCAGATTCTTGAATGCCTGGGCAGTGGACATGGCATAGGCAATGGCAGTAACAGTGACAAGACACTCTCCCAAGTGGCCCACATGGGTGCTGGCAGCGGCTACAACAGACTGAGTGAGCCAGTCTCCAGACCCACAGTTGGCGCGTGCAGAAGGGTGCCAGCTGTGACGGTAGCAGCAGGCTGGTGGGCTCTCGCCAACAATTGTGGATGGGGCAGGGCGAATCCCCAGCTCCCTGCAGTGTACTCTGGTAGGGGAGCTGGCGGCTGTGCTGTGTCCCTGCTGCTGGGGAGGGTGGGGTTGCTTTCAGTGGCGACAGGCATAGGCAGGCAGCTAGGGAGTGTATGTTTCAGCCTAGGTGATGCTACAGGTGGGGCCTGTCTTCCGGATGCAAGAAAGTGAGCCGTGGCGCCCGTGCTGAGGTCAGCAAGGTTGCTGCCAGCCACTCACGCCTTGGCCCTCTGCGTCTCGAGGAAGTGCCCGTGTTAGTCTCAGGCAGGCTGCCTCACCTCCCTCTCCTTCCTGACCTTAAAGGATGTTTCCTTGTCACTTCTCTGGAATTCCAGTGTTCTCTCTTAGATGATGTGTTTCAAGTACAATCATCTACTCGCTATTTTGGTTCTTCTGTTGAGGAGGTGAGTGTCAGATGTTGTAAGCCAGTCATCTTGAAGTTCTCCAATAGAGTCTTGCTCTGTTGCCCTGCCTGGAGTGCAGTGGCTCACAGCAGCTTTGACCTCCTGGGTTCAGGCCATCCTCCCACCTTCACCTCCCAAGTAGCTAGGACCACAGGTGTGCGCCATCATATCCAGCTAATTTTTTAATTTTTTTGTAGAGACAGGGTCTCCCTATGTTGCCCAGGCTGGTCTCAAACTGCTGGCTTCAAGCCATCCTCCCACCTCAGCCTCCAAAGTGGTAGGATTATAGGTGTGAGCCACCACACCTGGACCAAATTTTAAACTTAAAATTGAAGATAGAAACAAACAAGAATCTAAAGTTTTAACAACAATTGTAAGTCCTGAGACTCTCCTATTTCTACTGACAAGCACTTGTATATCATAAATGGAGGTATTATAACACAGTGGTTCTGAAACTATTTTATTTCAAAACATTGCTGTTGTTGTTTTTGTTGTTGCTGTTGTTGTTATTTCCAAATAACTTTTGTGTATATGGCTTAGATCTATTGATCTAAGAAATTAAAACAGAAAATTTTAAATTGCTTTTTAATTTTAAAATAATATGCCTATTATGTTTAACATATCCTTCTATGAAAAATAACTATATTTCCAGAAACAAAAAATGAGAAGAGTAACATTGCTTTACATTTTTGTAAACTTTTTTATGTCTTGCTTAATAGAAGACAGATGGATTCTCATATCTGCTTCTGCAGGCAATCTGTTGAAATTTCTTGTTTTAGTTGTCATATATGAAGAAAATCCATACAGAGATATGTAGTTGAAAAAGGTAGGGGTATTTTAACAGCCTTTTTAGATCATTGTGGATATTCATTTTTGCTACTATATCCAAACTCAATAAGAGGTAGTTTGTTAAAGGTTAGTTACGATGTGGAATCTGAAACCATATCCATGAATTTTTCACACTCTTCTAATAAATCTATTAGTCTATCTTGCACTTTGAATGAATCTTTTTCCCATCCATGATTTTGTAACATTTGGGAGAAAACTGGATCATGAAGTTATGCAAGATCTTCCAAATGTTTGTACATTTCATTATTTAATATCAAAGAATCACATTCATTAATATCATTACCAATTTCACCAGTAATATCTTTTGAGTATTGGGACACTGTCACACTTCTGAAGGTGAATATGAGTTTTCCAAAATTCCAAATGTTTTGCTTGAAAGCTCACATTTTATCACAGGCAACAAATATCGTCAGTAGTTTTTCTTGAAGTAATAAGCTGATTTCATTCATTTTCTAGAAAATACCGCCAAATACCCAGGACTTACTAACCATAGTTTGTAAGGCATTCTTTCAAGTAAAAACGGTATTTCATGGAAGAAAAAAGAAAGCAGCCAGTTCAGCTCACAATTCAAGCAATCATCTGTGTATCAGTAGCAGCAGAAGTGCTCTTCGCATACTTCCATTTCATCACAAAGAATATCTAAAAGATGTATACTGAAGGAGGAAGACTTAATAACGTTAATTTTAAAGTAAAGCTACACAAAGCACATTCAAAGAAATGCTGAAGATCCATCTGAAGGAAGGAATCAAGGCTCTGTGTTCCTAAAGTCAGATCTGTCCACTCCCAGGAAAGGAAGACAGACAGGGTCATTTGGTCTGGTCTGAAACCAGATGCTCTGGATCATCTCAAGCCCTACAGTTGAAAGAAGGGGCATGATGAACCTTTCCTGTACTGAGGAAATTAAAAGGGGGAAAGGAGTTAACATTGGATATCTCCACTGGAAAATCCAGAATTGAGAATAAGGACAAGTTTACAGACTCTGCAGCAGCTTCGGAGCAGGGTCTGGGAGGTGCCAGGTCTATAAAGAGTACAGAGCAGATCACCAGGAGCCCAGCCTCTGGAGTCTACCTGAGACACTCTCAGGTGGAGTCTCTGCCAGACATGGGCAAGGACCTGGATCTGAAGACATGAAACAGCAATGCTGGGTCTACAAATGGGGCCAGCACCTAAGCCACAGCATGTGATCATAAGGAATAACAACCATGGTACAACCTGGGCCTGGGACCAGAGATGTGTCCCACCAAGATTTGGGAGGCTGTGGGACCATTTTGTGGGATGACACAAGCCCACAGCATGACTGTACAACTTACGGTTGGAGACCTCCAAAAACAATTAATATTGGACTTCTCAATGATTTGGACACATGAGGGCCAATACTAGTTCTAATAAAACCTCTCTAAAAAGGATAAAAAGTATTCCCTAAATACCATTTAAAAATTGTATCTTTTTAAATGTTCAAGAAACCTTATTAACAATAATTTGTGTCACTAAATTCACTTGAATACAATACAATTATATTTTTTTCAGCCACAACATTTTTCTTTTTCTTTTCTTTTTTTTTGAGACGGAGCCTGACTCTGTCACCCAGGCTGGAGTGCAGTGGTGCTTCATTTCGGCTCACTGCAACCTCCACCTCTCGGGTTCATGTGATTCTCCTATCTCAGCTTCCTGAGCAGTTGGGACTACAGGCACATGCCACCATGTCTGGCTAATTTTTGTATTTTTAGTAGAGATGGAATTTCACCATGTTGGCCAGGCTGGTCTTGAACTCCTGACCTCACATGATCCACATGCCTCAGCCTACCAAAGTGCTGAGATTACAGGCATGAGCCACCTCACTCGGCTGCCATAAAATTTTTCTAGAGATCTATTGTACAACATGATGGCTATAGTTAATAATAATGTATTGTATTCTTGAAAATTGCAAAGGGAGTAGATTTTATGTGTTCTCACTTAGAAAAAACTGGTGTTTGCACCGGGCGTGGTGGCTCAAGCCTGTAATCCCAGCACTTTGGGAGGCCGAGGCGGGTGGATCACGAGGTCGAGAGATCGAGACCATCCTAGTCAACATGGTGAAACCCCGTCTCTACTAAAAGTGCAAAAAATTAGCTGGGCATGGTGGCACGTACCTGTAATCCCAGCTACTCAGGAGGCTGAGGCAGGAGAATTGCCTGACCCCAAGAGGCGGAGGTTGCGGTGAGCCGCGATCGCGCCATTGCACTCCAGCCTGGGTAACAAGGGCGAAACTCCGTCTCAAAAAAAAAAAAAAAAAAAAAAAGAAAAAGAAAAAGAAAAAACTGGTGTTTGTGAGGCAATGTATATGTTAATTAGCTTGATTTAGTCATTCCACAATGTATACATATTTCAAAACAACATTTTATACAAGATAAGGCCAGGAGCAGAGGCTCAAGCCTGTAATCCCAGCCCTTTGGGATGCCAAAGCTGGCAAATCGCTTGAGGTCAGGAGTTTGAGACTAGCCTGGCCAACATGGTGAAACGCTGTCTCTACTGAAAATACAAAAATTAGCCAGGCATGGTGGCACATGCCTGTAATCCCAGCTACTCGGGAGGCTGAGGTAGGAGAATCTCTTTTTTGGGGGGAATGGGGGGAGACCTTCTTGAACCCAGGAGGCGGAGATTGCATCACTGTACTCCAGCCTAGGCAACAGAGTGAGACTCCATCTCAGAAAAACAAAACAAAACAAAACAAAAAAAACACATCTGTGCTCTGCGATTGACAGCTGGGTGACTTTGACAAGTGGCCTGAGCTTCACTTGTCTCATCTGTGACTTACCTCACACAGTAGCAGCAAAGGTGAAATAAAATGGGAAAAAAACCCTAAGACTTGGTTAATCCTTCAGTACAAGGTTAATTAATTCTGCTATTAATAACAGAATGCCATGCAATGAAGACAATTATATGTTTATATTTTTTAACAAAGAAGTAAATAATAAACTATCAAGGGAAGGAAAGCCCATTATAAAACCAAATGTAACTCCATTCTTATAAAATAAAAATATTTTATATGTTATATATACACACATATAGAAAGAAGTCTAGATAGATATACAGAAAAATGTTAATGAGTTAACATTATAATGAGTTAATTCCAGGTAATGGAATTTTGGTTTTTTATTTTCTTAATTTGAAAATTAATTTTCACATTTATCTACCATGAAAATGTGTTACTTTTGTAACTAATGTAAAAGTCTATGGAATTTTTAAACATTACCTATTACCCAATTATTATCCAGTATTTTCCATTTTTACAGAGATTTAATTTACTTTGGCCTTTGGCTATTTGTTCCTTTTTAAGATCAGGTGATGGGAAACTATGCTTTAAATGTTACTGCACTTTTAGGGAATCACTTAAAGACAGCTCAGATATTAAGGCTGCTCAAAACAACCAAACACATAATACCAAAGTTAAAAAGAAATCTACCCTACCTTCAGAAAATTGGGGTCCTTATTGCTCATATAAAAGGGATCATACTCCTTTGGATCGTAATGTTCTATAAATGCACTTCCCTATAGCAAGGAAATAAAACCACACATAAGAACAAGAGGTGCACAGTTAATTTTGAGCATATCAGGACTTGAGAGTCAAACATACAGTATCATTCTTATGCTTGAAAGTGGCATCAGTGACAAATGCAAAAGGAAAGAGAAGGCTACATTTGAAATTTAATTTATTCAAGCAATAAAGTATAGCGAAGGAAGGAATCTACTTAAAATTTGTAAGATTTTAAAAAAGAATGCTGGAACACTAAAATATTTGGAAATTTGTTCTTAAATGCTTACTAGTCAAACATTTTTTTAAAATGCTAGAACAGCTATATTTTAGAGCTTTGCAAATAATCAAGTTCCAGAATAAAAGAAAAATATGTCCTGAACCTAGAGTCCAAATTATTTTGTTTATTTTTTTATTTATGAGACGGAGTCTTGCTCCATCACCTAGGCTAGAGTGCAGTGGTGTGATCTCGGCTTACTGCAATCTCTACCTCCCAGGTTCAAGCAATTATCCTGCCTCAGCCTCCTGAGTAGCTGGGATTATAGGTGCCCGCCACCATGCTAGGCTGATTTTGCATTTTTAGTAGAGACGGGGCTTCACCATGTCAGCCAGGCTGGTGTCAAACTCCTGACCTCAGGTAATCCACCCACCTCAACCTCCCAAACTGCTGAGATTACAGGTGTGGGCCACATACCCAGCCCAAATTTCTTAACTTGATAATTAAAATTAATAATTACATGGGGAAAACAGAAAAATGGTTCTAATGTACACAATTAAATCCAAATCTAATCTTCCCTTTCTGTCCTTTCCAAATGCCCTGAATTTAAGAATACTTATGCTATTCTATAACGGGGTATAGATTATACATACGTAGAGAGGAAAGGGACAGACTGACTGAATAATTATAAATGAACAAAGATGACATTAGGTTTTAAATCAACTGAAAAAAGCATCAAATGATCTCTTAGTACCTTTTTATTTACATATTTTATAAAGCTGTCTGATTCCTCTTGTCTCCTTTTTTTAATCTTCTTATGTGAGCAAACTTTTTCTATAATTTTCTTCTGAAGAGGATGTGCCACGTGGTCAACCCATCTTTTATATAACATCTCCTTTCTTCTTGCATTTAAGAAGGCTTGATGTTGTAAATACTTATCTAGTTCCTAGTAGACAGTGATAGAAAAGACAAATATATTATCCTAAAGCTTTCTTGTTCTAAAACTTTCCAAATTTAATTTACGTTTTAAGTTTTCAAAAACTTAAAACTTAACTTCCTAAGTTTAAATTACTCCTAAGAATAACCCACAAAGACATTCATTAATTCAATCATTTCTTTGGCTTTAACTTCTACAATGTGACATACACTCTGCTGCAAACAAGGAAAACACAGATAGTTGAGGCAACATGCCTGCTCTCCCTGGGGAGAAAGACTAAAGAACAAATCAAAAGCAAGGTGAGGTGGTGCCTACCTATATTTCTAGCTACCTAGGAGGCTGAAGCTAGAGGATCACTTGAGCCCAGGAGTTCAAGACTGCAGTTCACTATGATCAGGCCACTGTACTCTAACCTGGGCAACATAGTAAAAACCCATCCCTAAGAAACAAATCCACAAACAGTGGGAGGAGGAATATAGCAAGATGTATATTTATATATGATGCATATATATATATGGCATACTATATATAAAATAACTGAAGTCAAAGGAGAGAAAAACCATTTCCTAGATTCTTAAAAGAGTCCCAGTTTAGTGGGCCTCAGAAATTTAAACAGACCTACCATAAGACCCAACAATTCCACTTCTAGGTATATACCCAAATGAATGAAAATCCAGGACTCAAACAGATACTCCTACACCAATGTTCATTGCAGTATTATTCAAAATAGCCCAAAGGCGGAAATGGTCCAAGTATCCATCAACAGATGAACAGATAAACAAAATGTGGTATCTACAAACCACATTTATTTATATTTGTAATGTGGAATATTATTCAGCCATAAAATGAAGTTCTAATATATGCTACAACGTGGATGAATCTTGAAAACAATATGCCAAAGTGAAATAAGCCAGACACAAATGGACAAATAGTATAGGATTCTACATATATGAAAAATCTAGAATAGGCAAAATTTATAGAGACAGAAGGTAGATTCAAGGTTACCAAGTGCCTGGGGGAGGGAGAAATTAGGAGTCATTGCTTATTGAATACAAAGTTTCAGTTTGGAGTAATGAAAAATTTTGGAAATAGTGGTGATGACTGCACAACATTATTAATGTAATTAATGACACTGAATAGTATACTAAAAATGGTTGAAATGAGAAACAAAAATTTTAAAAATTAAAAATTAAAAAATGTTTAAAATGGGAAATTTTATATTGTGTATATTTACTTTTATATTGCATACATTGAAAGAAATGATTTTTTTTTTCAAAGCCAAAATTCCCAAAGTGGGAGACATTTGGGCTGGGCCTTTAAGTATGAGGATTTAGGATAGGTGTGGTGGCTTACACCGATAATCCTAGTATTCTGGGAGGCCAAGGCAGGAGGATCACATGAGCCCAGGAGTTCAAGACCAGCCTGGGCAAAATAGTCGGACTTCGTCTCTACAGAAAAATTAAAACTTGGCCAGGAGCGGTGGCTCACGCCTGTAATCCCAGCACTTTGGGAGGCCGAGGTGGGTGGATCACTTGAGGTCAGGAGTTTGAGACCAGCCTGGCTAACATTGTGAAACCCCATCGCTACTGAAAATACAAAAATTAGCCAGGCGTGGTGGCATGTGCCTGTAATCCTAGCTACTGAGAAGGCTGGGGCAGGAGAATCGCTTGAACCCAGGAGGTGGAGGCTGCAGTGAGCTGAGATCATGCCACTGCACTCCAGCCTGGGCAACAGAGCAAGACTTCGTCTCAAAACAAACAAACAAAAACAAGTGAGTAGAGGGAAATTCTTGCGCCTCTTTGTGAAGGAATTCCCACAAAGTATAGGAAGAGAGGAAATCCACTGAAGCAATCTCAGAGATCCCTTAAGGTTAATTCCAGGTGCGAGGGAGTGGTCTTAATTCTATTTTCCATATTTTCTAAATAGTTTTTATAGAATATGCTACATATAAAAAGGAAAAACTACATTCAGTTTTTAACTGAGATGCATTTCGTAGCCAATTCTTACCTTAGTTATATAATTTTCTCTGTATAATATTGATTGAATAGCTGTATCAGTATCTTCTTTAGCTAAGACCTGAAAGGACAGAATTAAACTTTGAAAAGAAAATCTTTAAAAATTATTAGTGCTATCTGGAATCATTATATTTTGCAATGACAGACATATCCCTGGAACATTCTCTATGCATGCAGTTTGTCTACTCCAAATCATATCATCAAGTACTTTTTTTTTTTTTTGAGACAGAATCTTGCTATATCACTGTCGCTTAGGCTACTGGAGTGCAGCAGCGCCATCTTGGCTCACTGCAACCTCCACTTCCAGGGTTCAAGTGATTCCCATGCATCAGCCTCCCAAGTAGCTAGGATTACAGGCATGCAACACATGCTTGGCTAATTTTTGTATTTTCAGTAGAGAGGGGTTTTGCCATGTTGGCTAGGCCGGTCTTGAACTCCTGGCCTCAAGTGATCTGCCTGCCTCAGCCTCCCAAAGTGCGGGAATTACAGACTTGAGCCACTGTGCCCAACCCACCAAGTGCTTTTTAAAGACTATCTTAATCTGTCTGCTCTTGGCTACAGCAAAATGTAACTCAGCTCATAGGCATTTGGAATCTCAAAATGGTCAAATGACTTTCCCAGAGTCGGAGAGTCAGAATCCACTTTTTTTCCCACATCTTATAAAATGCTTTTACTTTTGTAAAAATAGATTAAATTAGGCCTGTATTGGAGGCTTTTTGACTACATAAGACGTACTGATCATCCACAAAAAACCTTCAAAAAAAATCAGTGAATCCACGAGCTGGTTTTTTGAAAAACTTAACAGAATAGATAGACCGCTAGCTAGACTAATAATGTAGAAAAGAGAGAAAAATCAAATAGACACATTAAAAAATGATAAAAGGGATATTTTCGCCACTGACTCACAGAAATACAAACTACCATCAGAGAATACTATAAACACGTCTATGCAAATAAACTAGAAAATCTAGAAATGAAAAAATTCCTAGACACACCCTCAGAAGACTAAACGAGGAAGAATTTGAATCCCTGAAAAGACTAATAATAAGTTCTGAAATTGAGTCAGTAATTAATAGCCTACCAACCAAATAGCCTTCTGCCGTCTCTTCTCTCCCTCAGTAACTCTTTTTTTTTTGAGACAGGATCTCATTCTGTTGCCCAGGCTGGAGTGCAGTGGCATAATCACAGCACACTGTGACCTTGGCCTCCTAGGCTAGTAATTAATAGCCTACCAACAACAACAAAAAAAATCCCAGGACCGAGGGATTCATAACTGAATTCTACTAGAGATACAAAGAGGAGCTGGTACCATTCCTTCTGAAACGATTTCAAGCAACTGAAAAGGAGGGACTCCTCCCTAACTCATTTTATGAGGCCAGCATTATCCTGATACCAAAACCTGGCAGAGACACAACAAAAAAAGTAAACTTCAGGCCAATATCCCTGTTCAACTACGATGCAAAAATCCTCAATAAAATACTGGTAAACCGAATCCAGCAGCATTTCAAAAAGCTTATTCACCACGGTCAAGTTGGCTTCACCCCTGGGATGCAAGGCTGGTTCAATATATGCAAATCAATAAACATAAACAACCACATAAACAGAACCAATGACAAAAACCACATGATCATCTCAATAGATGAAGAAAAAAACCTTCAATAAAATTCAACATCCCTTCATGTTAAAAACTTTCAATAAACTAGGTATTGATGGAACATATCTCAAAATAATAAGAGCTATTTATGACAAACCCACAGCCAATATCATACTGAATGCGCAAAAGCTGGAAGCATTTCCTTTGAAAACCAGTACCAGACAAGGATGCCCTCTCTCACCATTCCTATTCAACATAGCACTGGAAGTTCTGGCCAGGGCAATCAGACAACAGAAAGAAATAAAGTGTATTAAAATAGGAAGAGAGGAAGTCAAACTGTCTCTTTCTGCAGATGACATGATGCTATATATAGAAAACCCCATTGTATTAGCTCAAAAACTCCTGAAGCTGATAAGCAACTTCCAGAAAGTCTCAGAATACAAAATCAATGTGGAAAAATCACAAGCATTCCTATACACAAATAGACAAGTAGAGAGCCAATTCATGAATGAACTCCCATTCACAATTGCTACAAAGAGAATAAAATACCTAGGAATACAGCTTAACAAGGGATGTGAAGAACCTCTTTCAGGAGAACTACAAACCACTGTTTCAGGAAATAAGACAGGATGCAAACAAATGGAAAAACATTCCATCTTCATGGATAGGAAGAATCAATATCATGAAAATGGCCAAATTACCCAAAGTAATTTATAGATCAATGCTATTCCCAACAATCTACCATTGACATTCTTCACAGAATTAGAAAAAACTACCTTAAATTTCATGTGAAACCAAAAAAGAGCCCATATAATGCAGACAATCCTAAGCAAAAAGAACAAAGCTGGAGGCATCATGCTACCTGACTTAAAACTATACTACAAGGCTATAGTAACCAAAACAGCACGGTGCTGGTACTAAAACAGACATATAGACAAATGGAACAGAATGAAGACCTCAGAAATAACACCACACATCTACAACCATCTGATCTTCGACAAACCAGACAAACAGCAATGGGGAAAGTATTCCCTATTTAATAAATGGTGCTGGGAAAACTGACTAGCCATATGCAGAAAACTGAAACTGGACCACTTCCTTACACGTTATACAAAAATTAACTCAAGATGTATTAAAGACTTGAATGTAAAACCCAAAACCATAAACACCCAGAAGAAAACCTACACAATAACATTCAGGGCATAGGCACAGCCAAAGACTTCATGACAAAAACAGCAAAAGCAACCGCAACAAAAGCCAAAATTGACAAATGGAATCTAATTAAACTAAAGGGCTTCTATACAGCAAAAAAAAAAAAAAACTATCATCAGAGTGAACAGGCAACCTACAGAATGGGAGAAAATTTTTGCAATCTACCCATCTGACAAAGGTCAGAATCTACAAAAACAAACAAGTTTATAAGAAAAAAAAAAAAAACATCAAAAAGTGGGCAAAGGATATGTGCAGACACTTCTCAAAAGAAGACATTTACATGGCCAAGAAACATATGAAAAAAAGCTCAACATCACTGATCATTAGAGAAATGCAAATCAAAACCATAAAGACATACCATCTCACGCCAGTCAGAATGGCAATTATTAAAAAATCAAGAAACAAGAGATGCTGGCGAGGCTGTGTAGGAATAGGAATGCTTTTACACTGTTGGCAGGAATGTAAATTAATTCAGCCATTATGGATGATAGTGTGGCGATTCCTCAAGGATATTAGAACCAGAAATATCATTTGACCCAGCAATCCCATTTCTGAGTATATACCCAAAGGAACATAAATCATTCTACTATAAAGACACATGCACATGTATGTTTATTGCAGCACTATTTACAATAGCAAAGATACGTAACCAACCCAAATGCCTATCGATGATAGACTAAAGAAAATATGGTACATAAACACTACGGAATACTATGCAGCCATAAAAATGAATGAGATCATGTCCTTTGCAGAGACATAAATGAAGCTGGAAGCCATCATCCTCAGCAAACCAAAACAGGAACCAGAAAACCAAATACCACATGTTCTCACTCATTAGTGGGAGTTGAAAAATGAGAACACATGGACCCAGGGAGGGGAACAATACACATCAGGGCCATTCGGGGGGTGGAGGGCAAGGGAAGAGACAGCATTAGGACAAATAACTAATGCATGCAGGGCTTAAAATATACATGAGGGGTTGATAGGTGCAGCAAACCAACATGGCACACGTATACCTATGTAATAAACCTACACTTCCTGTACTTGTGTCCTGGAACTTAAAGTAAAATAAGAAAAACAAAGAAAGAAAATTATCTTAGATATGAAAATCTGAAATAAAAAAACAAGACAAGGATTTTAGAACAGTTATGATAGCTATGCTTAAAATATGCTGATAATTAATGGATAGAAAATCTTAGCACAGAACAGAAATTGTAAAAAAAAAACCAAGTGGAAAACACAGTTCTTAAATTTGAAAAATAAACAAACTTCAATGGATTAGCAGCAGATTAGAGATAACATAAAAATAGTCAATGAACCTGAAGACAGATCATTAGAAATTACCCAGTCTGAAAAATAAAGGAAGAGGAAAGATTAGAAAATAATGAACAAAGTCATAGTGACCTATTAGAGAATACCAAAAAACTCCATGAATGGATAATTAGAGTTGCAGAAGTGAGGAGTAAAAGAATGGAGCAGAAAACAACTGTTTGAAAAAAAAAATCACTTTTGGACAAGACAGTGTAACAGGGAACAGACTTACTCTCCCACCTGAAACAATTGAAAAGAAAATAGATGAAACAAGTTTCCAAGATATTGAACATCAGGCAAAGGACAGTGGCGCCTGAGAAACAGAAAACAAACAGCCCAGCTGTCTCCCTGAATTGAGGAGGGGAGACGGGCGTTCATAGGTTGGAGAGCAGTTGGAGTTCAGAGGTTAGAGTACTAGAGGGGAGAAAGCTGCAAGATAGATGAAGCTCTGGAGAGCGGCAAAGGGTCAAGTCCGCAGATGTCCCCTTGAGTCTTCAGCTGATGGTAAACACTGTATGCCTGTGAGAAAACTACCCAAAGGAACAATGGTAAAAGAAATACCTGAAATAACTAGGGAATCAATCCCTAGAGGTCATACGGTCCTAGGAGTGTTCGTTCCATTTAGCATCAGCCAGTGGGGGAAAAAATCCCATAGTTTGAAGAGCATAGAATTGAGTATTTGGAGAGGTTTTGTATCAGTACTGAAACAAAACTGGCCCTACAGTAGATGCTGCTGTGGTCCTGTAGAGGCAAGAACTGAAAGGATCCAGCTGTGTTCAAGTAACTTAACTAAATCCCAGGAAAAAAAATGAAGAATATTTTTGGGAAATCTGTGCAGCTGTATTTTTAAAAAAAAGAATATTTATGGCAAATCAAAACTATCTAGCACTCAACATAGTTAAAATTCACAGTCTTGCATTCAATCAAAAATCACCAGACATACAAAGAAATAGGAAAATTTAACCAGTAATCACCAGGTATGCAAAGAAATAGGAAAATTTAACCAATAATCATAAGGAAAGTTAACCAAAACTGCCCCCAAAATGACCAAGACACTATAATTATTAAACCAGGATATTAAAATAGTTATTATTCCTGCAGTTCATAAGTTAAGGAAGCTAGAGGAAAGAGTAGACATGTTGAGACTGAAGAAAATGTTTGAAAAATAACTAAGGCCCAGGCATGATGGCTCACACCTGTAATCCCAGTGCTTTGAGAGGCCAAAGTAGGAGGATCACTTGAGGCTAGGAGTTCAAGATCAGCCTGAGCTACATAGTGAGATCCTGTCTCAACAACAACAACAGCAACAAACAAACAAAAAACAGCAACAAAAAGATCCAGATAAAATTCTAGGGATGAAAAGTACAATGCATGAGATGAAAAATATACTAGATAGGTTTATCAGCAGATAAGACATTACAGAAAGTTAGTGAACTTAAAGGCATACCAATAGTTTTCCAAAAATGAAATGCATGGGGGGAAAACTGAAGAAAATGATCAGAGTATCAGTGAGCTACAGGGCAACTTCAAGCAGGTTATTGTACATATAGTTGTATTTCCCAAAAGATGGAGAGAATAGAAAAAGTACTTTAAGAAATAGGCTGGGCTCGGTGGATCATGCCCATAATTCCAGCACTTTGGGAGGACAAGGCAGATGGATCACTTGAGGTCAGGCACTCAAGATCAGCCTGGCCAACATGGTGAAACCCCATATCTACTAAAAATACAAAAATTGGGCCGGGCACGGTGGCTCAAGCCTGTAATCCCAGCACTTTGGGAGGCCGAGGCGGGTGGATCATGAAGTCAAGAGATCGAGACCATCCTGGTCAACATGGTGAAACCCCGTCTCTACTAAAAATGCAAAAAGTTAGCTGGGCATGGTGGTGCGTGCCTGTAATCCGAGCTACTCAGGAGGCTGAGGCAGGAGAATTGCCTGAACCAAGGAGGCGGAGGTTGCGGTGGGCCGAGATCACGCCATTGCACTCCAGCCTGGGTAACAAGAGCGAAACTCCGTCTCAAAAAAAAAAATTAGGCATGGTGGTGCACACCTGTAATGCCAGCTACTTGGGAGGCTGAGGCTTAAGAATCACTTGAACCTGGGAGGCAGAAGTTGCAGTGAGCTGATATCACTCTACTGCACTCTAGCCTGGGTGACAGAGTGAGACTCAGTTGGACAAAAAAAAAGAAAAAATGGATAAAAATTTTCCAGATTTGTCAGAAACTGTAAGCCCACAGATACAAGAAGTTCAATGAACTCTGAGCAGTGGAGAAATTGTAACCTTCATACATTGCTATGAAAATTTAAAATGGTATCGCTGCTGTGGGCAAGTTTGGCAGTTCCTCAAAAAGTTAAACATAGGGCCGGGCACGGTGGCTCAAGCCTGTAATCCCAGCACTTTGGGAGGCTGAGGCGGGTGGATCACGAGGTCAAGAGATTGAGACCATCCTGGTCAACATGGTCAAACACCGTCTCTACTAAAAATACAAAAAAATCAGCTGGGCATGGTGGTGCGTGCCTGTAATCCCAGCTACTTAGGAGGCTGAGGCAGGAGAATTGCCTGAACCCAGGAGGCGGAGGTTGCGGTAAGCCAAGATCCATTGCACTCTAGCCTGGGTAACAAGAGCAAAACTCTATCTCAAAAAAAAAAAAAAAAGTTAAACATAGAGTTACCATATGACCCAACAATTCCACTACTAGGTTACAAACCCAAAGGAACTGAAATCATATGCTACCTAAAAAGTTGCACACAAATGTTCTTAGTAGCATTATTCATAATAACAAAGAACTACAAACAACCCAAATGTCCATCCACTGATGAAGGGATAAACAAAATGTGGTACTGAGACAATGGAATATTATTTGGCCACCAACAGAAATAAAGTAATGATTATGCTATGACATGGAAGAATCTTGAAAACATTATAGTAAGTGAAAGCAGTCACTAAGGACCACATATTGTATGATTCCACTTGTATAAAATGTCCAGAGGAGACAAATCTGTTTAGACAGGAAGTAGATTAGTGTTGCCAAAGCCAGAGAGAGAGGGGAATGGGAAGTGACTGCTGAAAGGTGTGAGGTTTCTTTTTTAGGGGTGATGAATGGTCTGAAATTAGATAGTGATGACAGTTGCACAACTTTGTGAATATACTAAAAAACACTGAAAACAAAAATTCAGAATTTTTTAAAAATAAAAAACACTTAATTGTACACTTTAAAGTAGTGAATCTTAAGGCATATAAAGTATATCTCAATAATAAGAGCCCAACAATAAGAATACAAATAACCCAACTGAAAATTACCAATTTTAAAGCGGGCGAAAGATCTGAACAAACACTTCACCGAAGATAAATAAATGGCAAGTAAAAGTTGAAAAGGTGCTCATCATTAATCATTAGGGAACTACAAATTAAAACCACAATGAGATGTCACTATACATCTTTTAGAATGTCTTGAGTTAAAAAGGACACACAACAAAGTAAGTAGAACTATTCCAAATATTGGCTTGATTATGAAACAACTGGAACTCACACTGCTAGTGGGAATGTAAAATAATTCAAACTAGTTTGACTTTGGAAACTAGTTTGGCAGCTTCATAAAAAGTTAAAATTCATTTACCATACGACCCAGCCATTCCACAACTAAGTATCTACCCAAGAGAAATGAAAGCATATGTCCATACAAAGACACACACATGAATGTTCATAACAGCTTTATTTGTAATAGTGCCCCAAACTGTAAACAACCCAAATGTCCATAAACAGGATGAACAAATTGGGTCCATATAACAAAACAGCATTTAACAAAAAAAGGAATGAAGTATTGATACAGACAATATGGTTGAGCTGCAAAGTAATTACGATGAGTGAAAGAAGCCAAACAGAAAGAAAAGAAATATACACTGTTAAGATTCCATTTGTATACAGTTTTTTAAATGCATAAACTAGAGTGCCAGAAAGCAAAGGAGGCTGGGCACAGTGGCTCATGTCTGTAATCTCAGTACTTTGGGAGGCAAAGGTGGGCAGATCACTTGAGGTCAGGAGTTTGAGACCAGCCTGGCCAATATGGTAAACTCCGTCTCTACAAAAAATCCAAAAAAATTAGCCAGGTGTGGTGGCACAGGCCTGTAATCCTAACTACTCAGGAGGCTGAGGTGGGAGGATCGCTTGAACCCAGGAGATGGAAGTTGCATTGAGCTGAGATCATGCCAGTGCACTACCGGCTGAGTGACAGAGCGAGACTCTAAAGAAAAATAGAAAGTAAAAGAGAGAAAGTAAGAGAGAAGGAAAAAGAGAAAGAAAGAAAATCAGTGGTGAGGGGATGTGAGGGAGGGAGGGATTCTAAAGGGACAGGATATTAAGGCAGCTTTGGGAGTACTGAATATCTTCACCATCTTGATTGTGGTGATGGTTTTGTACGTATACATGTCAAAACTTACAAAGTTTGTACACTTATTTATTTGAGACAGAGTCTTATTCTGTCACCCAGGTAAAGATACAGTGGTGCAATCACAGCTCACTGCAACCTCAACCTCCTGAGGTCAAGTGATCCTCCTGCCTCAGCCTCTCAAACAGCTGGGACTATAGGTGTATGCTACCACATCTGGCTATTTTTGTTTGTCCATTTGTGGAGACAGGGACTCAGTACATTGCCCTGCCTGGTCTGGAACTCCTGGGCTCAAGCGCTTCGCACTTCAGCCTCCCAGTGTGCAGGGATTACAGGCATAAGCCACAGTGCCAGGCAGTACACTTTAAATATATGCAGTTTACTGTATATCAATTACATCTTAATAAAGCTGTTTAGAAAAAAGAAACTACAACCTAAAAACAATATAACTGGCTGAGTGCAAGAGATCACAGCCATAATCCCAGCATTCTGGAAGGTCAAGGGTGGGGGATTGCTTGAGCTGAGGAGTTGGAGACCAGCCTAGGAAACACAGTGAGATCCCATTTCTACAGAAAACACAAAAATTAGCCAAGCATGGTGGCCTCGCCTGTAGTTCTAGCTACTAGGGAGTGGAAGAATGGCTTGATTCTAGGAGGCGAAGTTTGCAGTGAGTCATGATCATGCCACTGCACTCCCGCTTAGGCAACATAGCAAGACCCTGTCTCAATAATAAATACAAATAAATACATACATCATATCAAAATTTGGGTGATACAGCTAAGGCAGTAGTACTTCAAGAGAAACTTATAGCTATGTTACATTTAAAAAGGTATATAATCAATGACCTATGATTCCACCTTAAGATTTTAGAAAAAGAAACAGCAAAGTGAATATGCAAAGTTAGTAAAGGGAATAAACAGAATAAAATAAAAACAAAAAATAGAAAAAAACAACATGCTTAGCACAAGCCACTTCCCACTGCAACGACCCAAGTAAAAAACATCTCCAAATCCCACACAATTTGTTATACCTCCATAAAACAAAGGGGCTTGGGCTCCAGCCATTTTTTTGAGCTCTTGAGCTTGGGAAATGTGCCAGTTACCAGATCATCACTGTCTACATTTTTCATTGCGGTCACAAATAACAGTGCCCCTAGAAAAACTAAAAATCAGCTTATTTAGTATTAAAAATTTCAGTCATTGAATGTTCTCTTCTGTTTAATAACACCTGTGTCTTTGCACAGACGCGAAATGGATTCTGAACACAAACCATCCAGTTTCCCTAACGAGAGGGCTTCAGCACAGGCTCTAGATGACGGCTTCAGAGCCTGCCTCCTCCGTACGCTGGCGAGATGCTCTCAGATCTCCCTGCTCCTTGGAATGAATTCCCAGGTCCCTCTCCAAGGTAGCCCACTCCAGCCAGTGTGGCAGCTTCAGCCCGGCCTCTGGGAGCCCATTTGAAGGGCTTTTCTGACTTTTTGGTGGCCTTGAGTGGGGAGAACTGCAATTTTCTGGCTACAGAACACAAGCTGCTTGGAGAAGCAAAGGAGGGGTTTTCGGTCAAAATTGGCGAGTCTTCGGGCTCTCCGAGGCCCGAAGTCCTCCCCGAGGCCAGAGCGCGACGGGGAGGTCGTCGGGGTCCGCACCCGCTCCTGCCCACCGCGCCCACTCCCGGCCCTTCCTCCCAACCGCTCGGTCGGGCGGGCGCCTGCGGCCTCCACGCCAGGCCCTGGCCGGGGGCCTCCCGCTCGGGCACGTCTTACGCGGGGACCGCCCGGCCTGGCGGGGAGGTCGCCGGCCGCGACAGGCACCTCTCTGCCCTCCCAAGGCCGGCAGGCCCGCGGCCGTCCTGCGCCACACCCGGGCCCGGCCCGACGGCCCAGGACTCGTGCGGCTGAGGTCGGAAGAGGCCGCCCGCCTGTGCGGAACGCGCGAATGTCGGCGCCCACCGTCTCCCGGACGCAGCGCCGCGCGGCCCCTCCGCCCCTTCCGCCGCGGGTTCCACAGCGAGTGCGAGCGGGCGGCGCCGGGGCGGCGGAGGAAGACTTCAGCCGAAAGGGATTGGGCGGCGGCTCTAGCTGGCGGGTCTTGGTTTGCGGAAGGGGCTGAAGTTCCTGCTCCTCCGTGACCTGCGCGCGGCCTGGCCAATCCCGCCGCCGCCACCACCCATCCCCCCAACCGCGGTCCGTTGACCGGCGTGTCCATGGTCGCTGGCCCCTTGCCGAGCACCAGAGAGCGGGGTGGCGTCCGCTCCTCCGAGTCCTCGGTGTCGGGGAAGTCACCGCTCACCATCCCCTGCCCCGCCTTCGGTCCTGCTCCGGGGACCAAACCACGGAAAGGCAGTGGCGGGAAAGGGGATCCTCTGCCGGAGGTCCTAATAAGGGGGTCCAAGGCCTGGGGACTTGTGCGGGAAATGTGGGTTTAAGTGCCTTCAAGGCGTCCATTGGGATGTTGATCAGCGTTCATAGTTGGCGCTGACGCAGGTCACCGGGAAGGGAATGTGTGGGTTCATGACCACGCATATCGCTTCTAGTCCTGTTACTTAGCTGGGTAGCTCTCCATCCTTCGCTGGGTTTTGTTTTTCGTTTATTTTTTATTTTACAGGGTTTTTCTCAGTGTACAATGTTTGTTTTTAAATCCCGGATGATCCTAATGTAAACCATTGACATGGCCAGAAAATCATGAGGCTATGGTTTTCCAAACTCAGCTTCATAACCTACTCTGTGTGAGCTGTGATTTTTCTATGATTCTGTTTTCCTCTTTGGCTATTGGCGGGCCCTGAATGATGAACCACCGTTTTCACTCTGTATCTTTTCAAAGTACGCTTGCTGACCTTAAGACTGTCTAAAGTGGCTTAGAGACATTTGTATTCACATGCCTTTTAAAAGCTAGCCAGAGTTAATAGCTTCAAATGCAGTTTCCCTTTCAGAGTTGAGGGAACATGAGCCATTTGCAAAGCTTATTGTTAGACACCCTCTTGGGAACCAAGCATGTGGACAGTGCAGCCCTCATCAAAATCCAGGAGCAGAGCCTGTTTGTGGCATCACCAGGTTTTAATGTAAGAAAAAACAAGTTTGGACATAAGACTTTTGATTTACTATTTGTGTTCTTACAAAACATGAAGAAGACATGACTTTTTTTTTTTTTTTTTTTTTTTTTTTTGAGACGGAGTTTCACTCATTGCTTAGTCTGCAGTGCAGTGCAATGGCACGATCTCAGCTCACTGCAACCTCTGCCTCGGGTTCAAGCAATTCTCATGCCTCAGCCTCCTGAGTAGCTGGGATTACAGGCATATGCCACCAAGCCTGGCTAATTTTTGTATTTTTAGTAGAGATGGTGTTTCACCATGTTCGTCAGGCTAGTCTTGAACTCCTGACCTCAGGTGATCTACCCGCCTCGGCCTCCCAAAGCACTGGGATTACAGGCATGAGCCACCGCGCCTGGTCCAGACATGCCTTTTTTTTCTTTTCTTTTCTTTTTTTTTTTTTTCTATAAGATGGAGTTTTGCTCTTGTTGCCCAGGCTGGAGTGCAATGGCACGATCTTGACTCACCCCAACCTCTGCCTCCCGGGTTCAAGCGATTCTCCTGCCTCGGCCTCCTGAGTAGCTGGGATTACAGGCACGTGCCACCACGCCTGGCTAATTTTGTATTTTTAGTAAATACAGGATTCTCCATGTTGGTCAGACTGGTCTCAAACTCCTGACCTCAGGTGATCCACCCACCTTGGCCTCCCAAAGTGCTGGGATTACAGGCGTGAGCCACCGGCCCCAGACATGAATGTTAAATGAACTTTTTCTGGCCAGGCGCGGTGGCTCACGCCTGTAATCCCAACACTGGGAGGCTAAGGAAAGTAGATCACTTGAGGTCAGGAGTTTGAGACCAGCCTGGCCAACGTGGTGAAACCCCATCTCTACTAAAAATACAAAAATTAGCCAGGCATGGTGGCACACACCTGTAGTCTCAGCTACTTGGGAGGCTGAGGCATCAGACTCGCTTGAACCCAAGTGGTGGAGGTTGCAGTGAGCTGAGATCACACTACTGCATTCCAGCCTGGGTGACAGAGTGAGACTCGGTCAAAACAACAACAAAAAAAGAACTTATTCTGTAAAGAGCCACATAAATATTTTAGATTTCTAAGCATCTTAGTCGGTTTAGTATTGCTGTAAAGGAATACCTGAAGCTGGGTAATTTATAAAGAGGTTTGTTTGGCTCATGGTTCTACTGGCTGGAAGACTGGTCATTTGTGAAAGCCTTAGGCTGCTTCCACTCATGGCAGAGGTGAAGGGGAGCCAGCATGTGCAGAGATCACACGGGGAGAGAAGAAGCAAGAGAGAGCAAGTGGAGAGGTGCCAGCCTCTTTTTAAACAGCCAGCTCTCCTGGAATGAATACAGTGAAAACTCCCTCACAGCTTCTCCCACCCCACAGGGAGGGCATTAATCTATTCATGAGGGATCTACCCCCATGATCCAAACACCTCCCATTAGTCCCCCACTGCAAACGTTGGGATCAGATTTCAACATGAGATTCAAACTATAGCACAGGGCCATAGAGTCTCTGTCACAACCACTCAACTCTGCAGTTGTAAAGGAAAAACAGCCACACATAAAAGAATGACTGTGACTGTGTTCCAGTAAAATTTTATATTTATGGATACTGAAGTTTGAATTTCATATAATTTTTAAGTGTCACAAAGTGTTATGCTTCTTTTGATTTTTTTTCCCCCGACCATTTAAAAATGTGAAAACCATTCTTAGCTTACAGGCCATAAAAAACAGGCAGTGGGCTAAATTTGGCTGGCCACCAGCCATAGTTGGCTGACTCCTGTTCTAACCATGTATCCTCTCCAGGTAATGCCCAGTGATGTCCGAACACTGGTGAATGGATTTGCCAAGAACCCTTTGCAAGCCCGAAGAGAAGGATTGTATTTCAAGGAAAAGGATTACAAATGTGTCCGGGCAGATGACTATTCTCTTTATGCCAAAAATGTGAGTGCTCAAGATTTGAAGACAGCTGAGTAAAAGAAAAGAGCCTGAACCCAGGAGGCGGAGGTTGCGGTGAGCCGAGATCGTGCCATTGCACTCCAGGCTGGGTAACAAGAGCGAAACTCTGTCTCAAAAAAAAAAAAAAAAAAAAAAAGAATTTGCCTCCAATTTTCTTTGCCCTGCCTGATCCTCTCTGTAAAACAGATTAAACCCATTAATGTCTTGAGGCACTGTCTGAGATAGCAGTCTAGTGCCAGGAAGACATATGTGAAAGAAAGTCCTATCAGAGAGCCTGGTTTTGAGAAATGTTCATTGCAGAATCTATTAACTGAGCCTGGCCTGAACTCTTTCCACTATAGTCCAGCCTTCATACTCTACATCCTCCTTTAAAAAAAAGGATAGATAGGTAGATAGATAGATAGATAGATAGATAGATAGATAGAGATAGAGATATATAACTTCCACACTTAAAATATCTCTTAGTGGCCGGGCACGGTGGCTCACGCCTATAATCCCAGGACTTGGGAGGCTAAGGTGGGCATATCACCTGAGGACAGGCTGGCTAACATGGTGAAACCCTGTTTCTATTAAAAATACAAAAAATTAGCCGGGTGTGGTGGCTGAGGCAGGAGAATTGCTTGAACCTGAGAGGCAGAGGTTGCAGTGAGCCGAGATGGTGCTATTGTATTCCAGCTTGAGCAACAAGAGTGAAACTTTTTTATCTCAAAACAACAACAACAACAAACTCTCAACTCTCTGTTGCTTATGAGGAATGAAGGAGATGAAAATCATTCATTGAATGTCCTATATTATGAGTTAGATATGCTTCATCCACATTATAAACTAAATAACCTTATTTTACAGATGAGGAAACTGAAGCTTAACACAGTTAAATAACCCTTATTCATGCAACAGAAAAGGGAGGCACTAGAATTCAAGCCTGGAGCTGTCCAATTCCAAAATGTACTACCTTTCCATTATATCAGTTGTTCTTTCTTTTTTTTTTTTTTTTTTTTGAGATGGAGTTTCACTCTTGTTGCCCAGGCTAGAGTGCAATGGTGCAATCTTGGATCACTGCAACCTCTACCTCCTGGGATCAAGCGATTCTCCTGCCTTAGCTTCCCGAGGAGCTGGGGTTACAGGCACCTGCCACCATGCCTGGCTAATTTTTGTATTTTTAGTAGATACAGGGTTTCACCATGTTTGCCAGACTGGTCTCAAACTCCCGACCTCAGGCGATCTGCCCGCCTCAGCCTCCGAAAGTGCTGGAATTGATTACAGTCATGAGCCACTGCACTTGGCCTACATCAGTTGTTCTAATTGGGATAGGAGTATATGATAATCAGTTGCGGAACTTTTTCAAAATCCATCTGCCATTAAGATAATAGTTTAAAACTTGTTGAGGAAAGGCAACTAAATTGATGGAAAAGAGTGGACAGTCCAAAACAGATATATAAGTATATGGAAATCAGGAAATGGTGAAAAACATAGCTGAAGCATGACCGCTGGTCCTGTGATTAGAACCAAGAGCAGCATATTCTCTTTTATTCTTTATCCAGGAGAACACTGGCGTGGTTGTTGTGAAGACTCATCTGTATCTTCTGGTGGCAACTTACACTGAGAGCATGTATCCTAGTGTCTGTGTGGAAGCCACAGAGAAGCTGGGTAAGTCGGCATCCCAGTTCGTGTCTTCATTCCCTTTGTTAGTTGGGTTTTCCAACTACGAGTCACAGAGATTCAACTCAAACCAGCAAGGGCAGAAAGGAGGAATTTATTGGAAGGATGCTAAGGTTATTTACATAACCACTGGAAGGACAGGGTGCAGCTGAGCCATGGGGACAGTAGATTCCAGGGACTGGAACACTGCTAGGACTCTGTCTCTCTATCTTGATTCTAAATGAGTCAGCTTTGTTCTGTCTCATAGAAAACTGTTTCCTTTCCTGGCTGATGTCATGGCTGAGCCTCCCATAATACCACTTAATTTCTCTTAGGACCCTGATTTGGCAAGTTTCAGGTCATATGGTTTACCCCTGTATCAGTCAGCTATGTAGGTAGGGCAGGATAGGGGAGGAGGGAGACAGCAGGGTAAAAAGGCAGAGATGTGGCTGCTGGGGGTCTACCCTATGTAAGGAGACATTTTACAGGAAAAGAAATTACTGTGAGCCAGGCAGTCACTTTGTTGGTGTATACTGAATTCCCCCTTCGTGTCCATACATTTTTGAATAAAGATCTCATAGAGAACTAGCTTGGGTATTATATCTGTGAGAATTGATCTTAATAAATGGTAAATTGTATTTGTGTTTAGATTTTTTAAATTTAAATTTATACAACCCCAGTAAATTTAAATTTTAAAAAATTTACTGGAGTTGCATAAATACTCCTTTGAAGTAATTGGCCAGGCACGGTGGCTCACACCTGTAATCCCAGCACTTTGGGAGGCCAAAGTGGGCGGATCACCTGAGGTCGGGAGTTCAAGACCAGTCTGACCAACATGGAGAAACCCCATCTCAACTAAAAATGCAAAATTAGCCAAGTGTGGTGGCACATCACTGTAATCCCAGCTACTCAGGAGGTTGAGGCAGGAGAATCACTTGAACTGAGGAGGTGGAGGTTGCAGTGAGCCAAGATCGTGCCATTGCATTCTAGCCTAGACAACAAGAGTGAAACGCCACCATGTACCGCAAAACCTAAAATGCAATTTAAAAAAAGTAAAAAAAAGAAAGAAAGAAAGAAAAATAGAGAGAGAGAGGGAGGGAGGGAGGAAGGGAGGAAGGGAAGAAGGAAGGAAGGAAGGAAGGGTAGAAGCCTCTAATAACAAAAGCAGCCATTCATTCATTCATTCAACAAATATTCAGAGGTGATCACCATGTGCCCTGCATTACCCTAGGTAAATTAGGGAAACAGAGCTGGTTAAGATATAGCCTTTGCCTTCCATGCCTCTATACATGCTGTCCTATCTGCCTAAAATATTTTCCAGTTCCCTTCCTGTCCCTCACGTTTATTCAGCAAATTCCTAATCCTCATTAAAGACCCAAGTCAGATCTTGGCTTCTGTCCACTTTGGTATGGATTTTATGCATACCTTTATAATTATCCCCATTATAGTTCTTTGTTTATCTAGATTGTAAACTCCTGGAAGGCAAGAATTTTGTCTTAATCATTCTCCTTCTCCATTACCTAACACAGTATCTGATGTTGGGCAGGCAATTAGTACATGTCTAATGAACAAATAAATGAATTGTTTCAGCCTAGCAGAGTCAGGGAAGGCTCTGGAGAGCTGAATCTTAAAGGGCCAATTGAGAAATTAAGCACCATCACAGAAACTACATACCTCTATACAGATATGCCTCATTTTATCACATTTTGCATTATTGAACCCTTCCTGAGCAGGTGTCAGGATTTGAAGGAGGCTTTATTTCAGAATGGTAGGGCAGGAGCAGAGAGCAGAACAGAGACATAGAGATCCAGATTAATTATCTAATTAAAATAACCAGAATATGAGATTAGAAAGATGGGGAATTCTGCTGTCAGGAAGCTGACCTCTATCCTGTCAGCTAGAGCTCAGGGCTAATTCCGCAGATGATACCAGAGAAATTGCGCAACTACTGTAATGTAGATTATGTGGCTGGCACTAAAAAGGTTGATATTCTTGCTTAGGGCCATGAAAAACTCCACAGACTCCAAAGAATATGCCCTGGTTAGAAGTGCACGCATGGCATCATGCCATTAATATCCCACTGCTCTGGAAAGGGACACACTATCCTGGAAATGGTTGGATGCTCAGGAAGGATGGACAAGGCTGATATACACTCAGAAGCCAGTTCTCTTATGACTGACTTTTGTTTCCTCACTCCTTTTTAAAAAAATATTTTTCTCTATCTAAAAAATTATATGTGATCATTGTAGAAAATTTGGGAAGTAAAGAATTATGGGCTGGGTGCGGTGGCTCATGCCTGTAATCTCAGCACTTTGGGAGGCCAAAGCAGGCGGATCACTTGAGGTCAGGAGTTCAAGACCAGCCTGGCCAATATGGTGAAACCCCATCTCTACTAAAATTACAAAAATTAGCCAGCTGTGGTAACAAGTGCCTGTAATCTCAGCTACTTGGGAGGCTGAGGCAGGAGAATTGCTTGAACCTAGGAGGCGGAGGTTGCAGTGAGCCAAGATCGCGCCAGTACACTCCATCCTAGGTGACACAGCGAGACTGTGTCTCAAAACAAACAAACAAAAAAGAAAATCAGGTTTGTTTTTAAAATAAATATATTAGAGAGTCACATTCGTAACACTGGCAAAATGTTAACATCTTTAATTCTAGGTCCTCAAGTTATTTTTGTTTGTTCCTTTTGTGTTTTTCTTTTTTTTTCTGAGACACAGTTTCACTCTATTGCCCAGGTTGGAGTGTGGTGGCTCAATCCTGGCTCACTGCAACCTCCACCCCAGGGTTCAAGCGATTCTCCTGCCTCAGCCTCCAGAGTATCTGGGACTACAGGTGCCCACCAGCACGCCTGACTAAATTTTGTGTTTCTAGTAAAAATGGGGTTTCACCATGTTGGCCAGGTTGGTCTTGAACTCCTGACTTCAAGTGATCTGCCTGCGTCAGCCTCCCAAAGTGCTGGGATTACAGGCATGAGCCACCACACCCAGCCAAGTCCTCAGTTTAAAAAAAAGAATCTTAAGCATATATTGTGACTTATTTATAGCATTATTATTGAATTATTAATTTTTTTTTTCTTAAATGTCTTGTGACCTCTCTATAAATTTAAGTTGAGAAGTTTCAGGTTGGGACATAGACTTTTTGGAAATCAACCAGGTTTCCTAGTTTCTTCATTTAAGCCCTGCCTCACTCTGTAACTGAATCTATATGCTAAAGAACTGGGTTCTGTGTTTTGATAGATTATTGATATGGCTAGAAATAGATGATTCATGGTTTTGATATTCTGTTTATTCTCATGAGAATTCACCTGGGATTTATTGTCAAATTTCTAACATAGATGAGTGGGAAAATATGATTCATTTTACAGAATTTGCCTTGAAGTTAACTTTTCAGGAGTCAACTTCTTTTGTCACTTAATATCCCACTGCTCTAGGAAGGGATATTCTTTCTCCATACTCTTCTATCAGTTGCATCTTTCATGATTGCAGTAGAGGAAGGCCAGTTAAGTAATATTCAGCATTCAATGTAAGAAGAAGAATGGAATTTTTGAGAATGAAGCAGCAGCTTTCAATGTTTCTTTATTAATAGCTTGTTAAAAAATGAAGTACTGGCCAGGCACAGTGGTTCACGCCTGTAATCCCAGCATTTTGGGAGGCCAAGGCAGGTTGATCAATCCCAGCTTGGCCAACATGATGAAACCTCATTTCTATTAAAAATAAAAAAAATTAGCTGGGTGTGGTGGTGGGTGCCTGCAATCCAAGGTACTCAGGAGGCTGAGGCAGGAGAATTGCTTGAACCCAGGAGGCGGAGGTTGCAGTGAGCTGAGATCACACCACTGCATTCCAGCCTGGGTGAAAGAGCAAGACTCCATGTCAAAAAAAGAAGTGCTACCCAGCATGGTGGAGTATACCTGTAGCCCCAGCTACTCAAGAGGCTGAGGCAGGAGGATCGATTGAGCCCAGGAGTTTGAGTCCAGTGTGGGCAACATAGTGAGACCCCGTCTTTAAAAAGTAAATACATCAAGTGCTGTAATCAGTTTTAAGTCTAGGTCATAGAATACATATAGAAGAGGAGGGCAGCAGGTTCTTTTATGCTCTTGATCCCTCTCTCATCCTGCTCCCTTTGCCCACTTATATGCATTATTCATCCTTTTTCTGCATGGAAAACCAATTCACACTCCAGGACAGCTCAAATATCTCTACTGTGGCACTTATTACCATGAAATAGAATTGACGTTTATGTGTACCTATCTCCCCTACTAGACAGTGGACTCCATGAGGGCAGGAACTGTGTTTTAACTATCCAGTCACCCTTGTATCTCCAGTACCTAGCACAGCGCCTAGCACATGGTAGTTATCTGGCAATGTTTGTAGAATAATAAATGGATAAATCAATCATTTGTAGTGATAATTTGCTGCTCATAAATAATAACCATGCTATGTTTGCTTTCAGGAGACTACCTAAGAAAAAAAGGAAATTAAGTCATCAGAGGCTCGTGAAAGACACTTCTATTATTATAGAAGAAAACTGGAGAGCCTAAAGAAAAAATAATATTTTATGGTTGAAAAACACTAAATGGAAGGTACTAAAAAAGAAGAATGAATTCAGAGAGCAATTTTTATTACTTCAAGAGATCCTCTTCTTTCATTGGAATTACTTCATCAACTGTTTTTTTTTTATCAGTGTTGGTCATTGGCATGGAACATGAGAGCACTGATCATTTCATGGAGCATATCTATTGGGAGTCTCCTTTCCTTGAGGCTATTTTACACAGATGTGTACTTTACACACCTTGCTAAGTATGCCAAGAATGCAAGGCTTTCACCACTCTTTATCCAGGACATTTCTCAGGGTTATGTTGCAGCAAGCAACCTTGAAAAATGAGGGGATGTCTCCCTTGAGGACAAAGAGCAGGCTTGCTTACTGTTTGCTATAAAAGCAGTGGAGTCCCTGAGCTCAGTGTTCCCCTCCTGTAATGCAACTCCCTGCATGTGTGACATCTGTCTGGCCCACATCACCCCTGTGAGACTTAGGAGAAGGGATTGCAAAGGCCATTCAACAAGGGACCACTAGTCAAGGTATAAGGGTGGAGAGCTATAGAACCTATTTTGAAAATTAAAGATTCTAGCCTATTACTAGACATTAGCATCTTTTTTTTCCTAACAGCAACCTCAGGCCAGCCTGATCAGTATACCCTTCAGATGTCCCTGGGGAGATAACACCTTAGAGTACTTGCCAAAGGACAGCCTAGGAAATTCAAATTTAATTCTGGTTCAGCCAGATTGAACTAACATGGTCCTATATCACGACAATAATGACTGCTTAGTTATGTACACTGTTCTCTAGGTCCCAGCACTTTGGGAGGCTGAGGCGGTTGGATCACCCAAGGTCAGGAGTTCGAGACCAGCCTGGCCAACATGTTGAAACCCTGTTTCTACTAAAAATACAAAATTTACTCAGGTGTGGTGATGGGCACCTGCAGTCTCAGCAACTTGGGAGGCTGAAGCAGGAGAATCACTTGAACCCTGGAGGCAGAGGTTGCAGTGAGCCAAGATTGCACCACCACACTCCAACCTGGGCGATACAGTGAAACTGTGTCTCAAAAAAAAAAAAAAAAAGAAAGAAAGAAAGAAAATAAGCAGTATGTGGGAGACAGTGATCATTGAAAATGGGAAGATGGATAGAGCCAAAATAGAAAAGGCTACTTTCCTTAGAGTCACTCAAAAGACATCAAGCGGGGCTGTGGGCTAGAGAGTATTTTTAGAAAACTATTAAATTCTGAGTACAAAAGTAATATATGCTCACTTTTAAAACTTGGGAAAATAAGTTAATCATAATTTAACTTTAATGAAAACTTCTGGGCCAACCACAGTGACTCACACCCATATTCCCAGCACTTTGGGAGGCCGAGGTAGGCAGATCACCTGAGATCAGGAGTTCAAATCCAGCATGGCCAACATGGTGAAACCCATCTCTACTAAAAAATACAAAAATTAGCCGGGCATGGTAGTGGGCATCTGTAATCCCAGGTACTTGGGAGGCTGAGGCACAAGAATCACTTGAACCCAGGAGGTGGATATTGCAGTGAGCTGAGATTGCACCACTGCATTCCAGCCTGAGCAACAAGAGCAAAACTCTGTCTTAATAAGTAAGTAAGTGAATGAATGAATGAATGAATGGAAATTTCTGTTGATGGTTTTGAGATTTTCTTCAGGCCTTTTTTGATGCATGTAATATATATGTTTTAACCTTATCTAGATCCTTAATGCATAGAGTTGACATTCTACCATGTCCGTTTAGCATGATGCTATGAGACCTTGAATGTCTTTAAATTGCTTCAGAAACATTTTAAATCATTGCATATCATACAATTTAAACATAATATTGTTCTTTGTTAGATATTTAGATTATTTCTACTTTTCACTTCATAAATAATATTACTATTTATAACTTTTACATAATTCTTTGTATCTGATTATTTCCTTAGGTCTGGAAGTAGAATTTCAGAGTCAGAATTTGAGCAACTTTATGGCTCTCTGGAGTTTTTGTTTTGTCTTTTACAAGAAAGGAATTTTACACCATAGCTTATAATATGCAGTTGAGAGGTTTTTTTGGCAGGTAGGAGTTGCATATAATTCAGCTTTCATTTATCAGCCCCCTCTGCTTGTGGGTTGGATCTGAAACAGTCTTGGTGTCTCAGTGAGTGAGAATGAGAGAAAATACTGCAGACATTTGAACTAGCTGAATCAGACACTGGAGAAGCAGGTTACTCTTTAAATTCCAGATAGTATGAAATCATGGTGATGCTGGACAGTCACACCTCTGCAGTCCAGAGATGTACAATATAAAGATATTTGTAAGGTTTGTACGACAAGCTCGGAAGCATTTGAGGACTTCTAGTCACAACTCCAAAAGAGGCAGGGATGCCAAGGCCCAAAGATAAACAAAGACTGAGCTATCAATATGTCAGGCTAAAGTTAAGCTGTGTCATCAAAACAGAATGGACAGGAGCAGACACATGCAAAGAATGGCTCTCAAGCCTGCAAGACTTGAACATGTGAACATATTGATATGTGTGTAGAAGGAATGTGTAACCACAAAAAATGGAAGTGGGGCTGGGTGTGGTGGCTCATGCCTATAATCCCAGCTTTTTGGGAGGCCAAGGCAGGAGGATTGCCTGAGCCCAGGAGTTTATAATCAGCCTGGGCAACATAGCAAGATCTTATCTCTACAAAAAATGCAAAAATGGCTGGGCATGGTGGCCCACACCTGTAGTCCCAACTACTCAGGAGGTTGAGGCAGAAGGGTTGCTTAAGCCCAAGAGTTTGAGGTTATAGTGAGCTATGATCATGCCACTGTATTCCAGGCTGGGTGACAGAGCGAGAACCTGACTCAAAAAAAAAAAAAAAAAAAAAAAAAGATCAGCCAGGAAGCTCAGATAAGAGCAACTGGAGTAACATTGGTTGGGCCTATTCAAAGTGGAAAGGCCTTTGAACAAACCCTTTAAGTAACTTGGTAGTTTCCCACAATAATTATTTTGAACAAGGGTCCTACGATTCAATTTGACACTAGCTAACTGGAGTTAATGCAGACCCCACAGGTTAAGGGGCTCAGTTCCCACAAGCCTGTCCCCGCTACAGATGCCAAACACAAGTCCCAGGTCCCCAGGCTACCCACACTACCCACACTTCTGTCTGACATGGCTACAGATTTGAGGGGAGTGCCAAGGCAGGGGTGTTTGGTAATTTGCTGGAATGACTGCAGAACTCATGGAAGGGCTATACTGCACTTATGATTGCAGTTTTCTTATAAAGGATGCAAGTCAGGAATAGCCAAATGGAGATGTATAGGGCAGGGACACAGAACTTCCACACCTCTCTAGACACATGCCCCTCCCAGCACAGGAATGTGTTCACCAGCCTGGAAGTTCTCTGCTGGGCCAGAAGCTGGTGTTGAGGCCTGCCCAGCATGGGTGGGTGGAGCAACCTTACTGCTCCCAGGCCTGGTAACTGCAGCCTCTACTGGGGCTATGGTGCTGGCTGGTCTGCTCTGGGGCCTAAGGCTTATAGAGGTCCCTTTGGACTCGAGAGGTGACCCCATAAAACGTCTAAGTGGCTCTCTGCCTCAGTCTAGAAGCACAATGGGTGGGTGTGGGGCCTAGAGGATTCTCCTGTTCCCAGTCTTGCACAGATCCCTGTGGAGAGCATGAGTCCCCCAGGGGGCTCTCACTCACTCACCCTGTCCTGTGTTGAAGAGGTTCTCCTGGCTCCATGCTGAGCCCATACAGCTGGTGCCTGGCTTCACTTCTCTCTGCTCTCCGTGTTCTTCTGCTGCCCTTATGGATCCCAGCGTGGTTGCTCAGATGATCAGCCTGTAGGTCAGTGTTTACTAGTCCTTTTGTTTCTTCTCCATGACAGCAGCACACATGAGCTGTCTCCAGTCCACCATCTTGGCCCCACCCCCAATTCATCTCAATCATCCCATCTTGTCCTGAGTCCTAGCTTATCATTTGACATTCCACATAGATTTGCCTATAGATTTTGGGGTTCAGTCCCCATGCCAATAATTTCTCCTTATAAATTAGCACACTGACATCTGGATTTGAGAACTCAGTTCTGTGAGCTGTAGATCGTGCTAGACGTGCTGTGGGCAGGGAGTCTGACCTAGACTACAGCAAGTCTCTGAAGTTCTGCAGGCCTGGTGAAGTCTCTTGGCAGCTCACCTGGCTGGCTAGCCTTTCCTAAACACACCTGCTGCACTGCTGGGTGCCTAGTGAGAGCCTTTTTCATAAACCTCCTCAAGGCAATAACTGTCTGGAGCCTCCTCTGTAGGGCATTTCAGCTGCCTCCTGTAATTCTCATTACAAACTTCCAACTGGGTCCCGCTACTCAGAGAGAACCACACGAGACACTTTGGTGATAGCTATACAGCACCTGTGGAGGTGCCCAGGGAGCAGGCGATCTTTTGAAACAAGGGTCTCAAAACTAGAGAACTTTGTATCTTGGTGGTTCACAAAGCCATTAGAAGAGGCACACTGGCATGAATGGATTTAAGGGGTTCGTTTTTCCCAAGTTCTCAACTTCCATATGTACTTTCCTAAAAAGGATCTGCTGTAGTTGAAGATTCATGTCAAGGTTACTTTCTGGCCTCCCCTCCTCAGCCTCCCTTCACCAAGTATACAAAAGAGCTCACTCGCACAGCCCTTTGAGCCTTTGAGCCTGGCTTGGAGCATAAGAGCTGTGAGGTACCAAAGGAAGGGAATATTCTCAATATTTTAAAATTGAATGATCTCTTTCATGCTCTATTGTTCAAAAATGCATCATATATGAAGGAGAGTCCCATAAGAGTAAAGCAAAAAAAAATCAGTGAGAAACAGTGAACACTCTTATATCATAATTCATCCATGAAAGGAAGTCTGCATGCCTTGTCCATCTATATTTGTTAAGATTCAGAAGCGAAATGATTGTTAGAAGGCACATACTAACATGATTAATTTAAAAATGAGAAGACTTTTCTGATAGAAAGTAATTTGATTTGGCTGATTAGTTTAACAGTGAGGACTGCCTTTGCCAATAACAATGTCACAGATGTTTTCCATAAATGAGTTAAGTCTGCAGCTCCAACATGTTAATGAAAATATTTTGTTTGTTTGTTTGTTTTGAGACAGAGTCTCTATTGCCCAGGCTGGACTGC